GACCCCAAAATTCACATTTGGACCCAAAATTCCTCAAATTTCCAACATTTGGACCCAAAATTCCCCAAAAATCCTCTCCAGAAATCCCAAAATTCCCAAATTTGGAACCAAAAATTCCCCAAAATCCCCCAAAGAAATTCCAAAATTCCCAAAAAATTCCCTTTAGGGACTCCAAAATTCCCCAAATTTCCCATATTTGGACCAAAATTTCTCCCCAAAATTCCGTTTATGGACCCCAAATTCCCAAAAATCCCCCTCAGAGACCCCAAAATTCCCCCAAATTTCCCTCAATTGGAACCAAAATTCCCAAAAATCCCCTCCAGAGACCCCAAATTCTCCTCTGGGGACCCCAAAATTCCCCAAAATTCCCAAAAATCCCCTTTAAGGACCCAAAATTCCCCAAAAATTCCCTTTAAGGACCCAAAAATTCCCAAAAATTCCCTTTTGGGACCCCAAAATTCACGTTTGGACCCAAAATTCCCAGAAATTCCCCACAGGGACTCCAAAATTCCCCTATAGAGACCCCAAACCCCCTATAGAGACCCCCCAGACCCCTATAGAGACCCCTCAAATCCCCTATAGAGACCCCAAATCCCCTATAGACCCCCCCAAATGCCCCCAAATCCCCTATGGATCCTCCCAAATCCCCTATAGAACCTGCAGACCCCTACACATCCCCTATAGAGACCCCCCAAATCCCCTTTAGGGACCCCCAGACCGCCCCAAATCCCCTACAGAGACCCCTCAAATCCCCTATAGAGACCCCAAATCCCCTATAGAGACCCCCCCAAATCCCCTATAGATCCCCTATAACCCCCCTAAACCCCTACAGGGACCCCCCAAATCCCCTCCAGAGACCTCCAAACCCCCCCAAATCCCCTATGGACCCTCCCAAATCCCCTATAGATCCCCTATAACTCCCCCAGACCCCTATAGGGACCCCCCAAATCCCCTACAGAGACCCCAAATCCCCTACAGAGCCCCTATAGCACCCCCAGACCAACTTTAGGGACCCTCAGACCCCCCAAATCCCCTCTAGATCCCCTATAGACCCCCCCAAA